ATTCTGGGCTCTTTTCTTTTTTTTTTTTTTTTTTTTGTTGTTGTTGTTGAGCGTATATATTTGTCTCTTCAACGAGAAGAGAGTAAATGTCTAAACCAAAACGAAAATCGAAAATCTGTGCACTAGTTTCAGAGACCCTGTGTATTTTGTCTTTTATAATTTCTTTCTCTATCTCTTTCTTCTCTTTCTTCATTCTTCCTGAGACATAACTAACAGTTGCCTTTTTTATCCACTTCAAGATTTCAGTCCTCTGCTTTTTAAACCTTTTTAGTATGACTATAACTGCTTTTAGAAGGCTGAAACTTACTTCTTATGTGAATTTTCAACTTCCCCAGCAGTATCATTTGGTAAAATATCATTATCATTATTTAAAACATTGCCATTTCGTTCTTCTTCTTCCTCACTAGCCTCTTGCAATTTCTGGGGGGAACAACAACAATATCAGTTTCATTCTGGTCATTGTTAACATTATCATCATTTGTTTCTTCATCAAAAAATCTTTGAAGGGCTTCTTCTAATGTAAGATACCTCGTTCTAGACATTTTTAAACAACCAGAACATGAATCAGAACATCGAAAGGAATGAGTGAAAAAGAAGATTGACTACTCGTTTCCTGCTGACGTTGCGTCAACGCAACACCTGTTTTCTCTCCCTTCCCAACACAAATATAAACATTTTACTGATGTAATGTTCTGATAAATGGTGACCTTGACTAAAAATAGATCACTCATAAAGACCGCGATTCTTTCGTTAAATATTTTCAGCAAAAATACCCGGTCAAAAATTTTGCTTAAAGTACGAGATTAATTATTATAAACACAATGATTGTTGAAGGCAAATATTTCTTTACAGAAATAATCTTCATAATATTACCTACACAAAATCATCTGCTGGTATAAAATATCTTTAGGTAGTTATATTTATATACACATTTATTTTGATCATTGCGTCAACGCAACACCAGCGGCTAATGGGTTAATGTATCTTCCTTTTCTAAAAAGTGCATTTTGTTATCAAGAAAAGTAGGTTAAAAACAAAGATTAACTTGTGAAGTAATGAATGTAGAATTCTTTTATAGTGTACATTGTGGTAGTTACAGTTTGAATAATAACATTGTGCAAGCGTAGAAAATAATCTTCAGATTGATTTTTAAGCTTTCATGTTATTTTTTTGTAAAGCTGTTTTTATCATTATTGAAATTTAGGCCTTTCTACTTTTTACTCATTTAAGTTAATGTCAAAACATGTTTTAAATAACTTCATTATTTTTATAGATTTATGTATTCTTTTGGAAGTAAATGCTAATATATTTAAAAGAAATTAAGCAAACACTTTTTATTCATTAAAAAGATACTATTTACAGAAGCAGTTATTTTCAGCTCCCATTTCTTCATAGACATTCATTCTTACTTGAATTTATAAATTTAGTCAAAATGAAGAAAAATATATTTTTAAAAAATGGAGAAGAAACAACAACAAAAAATTTCTTGAGCTAAAATCCAATTTAAACTTTGATTGTGTTTAACTATAACATTTGTGCTTGCACTTTTTCTTGCTAATAATCTAAATAAAGAATGAAAAATAATTGGTAGCAGCCGAAGGGAGAATGACTTAGAAGGATTTTGAATGAAGCATATGCCATTTATTATTTAATTTGTATTTAAGGAACTAGAGATATGCATCCAAGGATTCTTGATTTCTTCTTCAGCAATGCACTTAGGTTTTGTTATTTTTCTGTGTATTTTCTGAATAACCCAGATGATCCAGATCTTTTCTGTTTATCACCAGAATGCCTCTCAGCCTGATCCTTTTCACTTGATGAATGTAGAAATGGACCTTGCCAGGTTGCCTGTTTCTGTTTTAGTAAAGTCACATCCAGTACTACTATTAATACCACATATTCAATAGCTATATATAAACTATTCTTTGCTAAAATGCAGTCCATTTTTAAAATTAATATAACTAATAAATAAGTTCTTTTTATTAGTTATATTAATTTTAAAAATGGACTGTCATTTAATTAAACAAGTGTTTTATATTTTTGAATGAAACAAATGCTTTTCCCTGTTTTTCTTATAAATGTTATGTTATTTATTTACGCTGATTCCTTTAACCGTGCCACTGCAAAAATACAATGTTTACATAAAATAACAGTTGGCTGTGTACATATATAGATATACTTTGATGTTGACTGTAATTTTTTGTTCTTGCTAATATTCTTTGATAACAGCAAGTGCATAAAAAGGAATATTAATTTATCTAATGCATTCTGAACTTTATATAACTTGGAATGGAATTTTTGTAACACATTTTAATATTTTGTGCATATATATTAAGTTATTTAAAATCTGTAAATTCTTTTCCCTGTAGAAGAAACTTTACTGTTATTTCAGATAATTATTAAAGAATTTTATACTTCCTGCAACATTAATGATTGCTGTTATTCAAATAAATTAACCATTTATCTTATGACTGTTATGTGTCTATGAATAAATAATAAGGCAAAATATGATAGTTTGTAACTGTATCCTTTCTTAAGTACTTATGCATCTGCACATTTAAATTGTGCTACTGCCTTCTCTACCTTCGCATTCATTAGCTGCAAGACATCAGTAAACAAAAGTTCATGATAATCCAATTCATGTGCTATGCAACTATATATCTGGCTGCTTTAAGTTGGGTGCAAATGATTTATGTGCTCATGTCCAGCAATATTGGCAAGAAATCAAACATTGCCAGCTTAGTAATGCTATTATAAATATAAACAATATGAAAAATTGTTTGACGTGCAAAATGTCATGTTTGACATGAAAATTGAAATTATGCTGTGTGAAAATTCCTGAACTTTTTAAGGCTTCTTGTCTTAACCCTTTGACGCGAGGTGGTCGCTCCTTGAAACCACCAATTTTCGAATTTTTTTCTCCTCTTCCTTCCAAAATTTTTGAGTGAAAATCAATTGATTACTGATATTTTACGTCTAAATAACACAAAGTGACTGCAGAATCACACGTTTTAGCTCTTAGTACTTCAAATTGAATGCCTTTTCAAATTCGTTTTTAATGAGACAAAATAACTTCCTTTTATTAATATAAACAACTTTAAATTTCAAAAGTTATTCATCCAGCATCATGATTTCTATCATAAACAATAAAAAATATCAATAATAAAACTGCATATATAAAAAAACCTCTATATGTATGGCATTTGCTTTGTGGTTTCAGGGCGTGTCCACTGCACCACTAGAGCATTGTGTCACAATGCTGTAGAGACTCGGTGGTCGCACCTTGAAACCACTGCTCTTCACAATGGTATTTGCTTGCTCCTCAAATAGGAATGTTTATTTTTACCCGGATATAGATAAGGGGTTTTGAAACTACAGAGTTATTTTATTACTAAACAATATATGCACCTGCCCAGTAAAAGGGTCTTTCTTTCCCAGAGACTTTTCTCTGACTTTAACACACTTGCTCCCCAAGCTAGTATTGTGATATTATAAATTATTTCCTGTGGTTTAAATTTAATGTAAATATAATTTGCTATAATTAAAAATAGAAATCACGTAAAGTTTTATTTAAATTTAAAATATTTTTCGAATATTTTGGGACAAAATACGAATAAAATAAGTATGAATGGGAAACGAATGATCCATACCAAAGCCAAAAAATACCAAGCCTCCCCATTAACATAAAAAAAAACCACAAATGTCATGTGCCAGATGAAAAGAAACTAAATAATGCTGGACATATACTAGTGAAATTTAGATCCAGGCAGTGTGCATTTTATAGCACAAGGAAGAGACCTCTTAGAAGAAGATACATGTGCGAAACATGCAATGTGGGTCTATGCATGTAGCAAAAAGACAGAACATGCTTTGAACAGTGTCACAAAAAATATTTGTTCTTTGCAATTAAAAAAAAAAAAAAAAACTTTGAGTCTTTTTTTTTTTTTTTATTCTTTTTTACTAAGTTTTTTAATCTATTTAGCCAAACGTCCTTATTATGTAAGTACTTATATTTTGAATGCTATAGAAAAATTACAGAAATGTTTATATTTAAATTTTTTCTGACGATTTACTTTGTAAAATAATGTAAAAAAAATATATATTATGCAATTCCTACGTACATTTTTCAAAATTCGTAAATTTCGTCATTTATTGGAAACGCGCACGGAAAAAGGTAAGTTTTTTCCCATACTACCTAGGTAAGTTTCGAAGTCCTAGACGCACGGTGGTTTCACAGTGCTACCACCACCCACAGAACAAAAGGCAAGAATAGATTTTTTAAAATTCATATATTATTTGTCTCTATGATCATAATATTCAATTTCTAGAGTTTTTAGTTAAAAAAATTATAAAAATAATATCATACGCATCAAAGTGTTAAGATGCAGGATATATTTATTATTTTTCACACTTTTTTATGACTTTTCTTTGAAATCTGATAAGTGATTTGGAGGCCTCTTTTGATTGTGATTTCTGTGATTCCCTTAAGTCTGCTTATGAGGAAATTTGAATGGTATCCTTTGAGATGTATTAAAAAATGAACAAATTTTGATGTTAAAATGGACAGATTTATCATAAAAACTAAGCTAATTAGTAGTAGGTATTTGATGCTATCTCCCAAGAGATTAAGGAGTGCATTCTTCAAGTATAGTTAATCATTCAAATGAAGCCTCTTGCAATGTATTCAGATTTTTGGAAATTCACATAGTGCAATTAAAAACAACAACCAGGTTTAGAAGCTTCAAAATCAGTCATAAATAACAGATGTATAGATTTAGAAACTGGCTGCTGATCAGATGTGGCACCTGGTTACTTAGTTTAGTAAGAAAGTCATGTTTTTCAGTTTATAATAACTCCCTGATTATAAGCATTGATAAAAATCATTTTGCACCCAGCTAGTAAATAAGTATCTGTTTTCCCTCTACATACAGTTATATTTCTGACAGTTAAGACAGTTATATTTCTGTCTCTCTCTATATATGTTTTAAATATTTGAATAGGTATTTCTACAAAAGCTGTCAGGAAAGGAGATGATCTTATTATTAATGGAGGTAAAATGTGGATTACCAATGGAACTCAAGCAGACTGGATGTGCATGTTAGCCAATACAAGAGATGGTCCACCACATAAAAACAAGTCTCTCATATGTGTACCACTGAATTTACCAGGTATGCATTCAAATTCAAACAAATTAAATTCATTTAAAATAAAGCTAACATTAATTTCATTGCACAGTGTTTCTAGAAATAAGTCTCAAAGTTTAATTTTTGAAAGTCCTGTGATATTTTTCTTTCTAAGCCTTTTAGTCATTCAAGTTGAGCTTTTATCATTTTTAAGTGCATATTGTTTTTAATACATTTTTTAAGCATTAGATTGAATATTTCCTTCTAAAAATTATCTAAAGCTATTAAAGATAATCTCAGAGTTTTAATTCAAAATTATAATTTCATTCATAAAAAATAAAACTTTTCACTGCGTGGAAGAAGAAGCTTTCATAATGAATAATAAATTTTTTACTTTAGCACTAATTATGTCAAAACTATTTTTTTGAAAAGTAAACACCAGATGTATATCAATAGAAATTTATTATACTTTTGAATAATGAAATAATTTGTATTGCAAGTAAATATTTTGTTCTCTTTACATAGCAATGGCTATAGTTGCTAACTGAAACTTTCTGAATTAAAAATTTATTGGTACAGTGCTTAAATTGTTTTTATTTCAAATAATAAGATTATCTAATACAACAGAGAATCAAAATTTGTCTCTCTGGAAATTCTGGAAAAATGGAATTAACAGTTTTTCTAACTTGAAAGGATTGTCTCTTATGTAACTACAGGGAGAGAGACTGCCACAAACGATTTCACTCTAAAGCAAGCAAAATTCTGTTTCTAAGCTTGATTTACAGAAAATATAAAATCATGGTTTGGAAATGTTAAATAATTATTTTCTTTAGTGCTTAACTAATTTTATTTATTAATTTAAATATGAGTATTACCAAATTCCCACTACTAAAGATTTTAGAAAAGTGTACTGTTTTTAAGAACTGAAATATTTAATCTATTACTTTTTTCTGTCTAATATGTGAAACCTAATATCAGAATTTATTTCTGAAACTCCTAGATAGGAATATTGAAAGAGATTCTTAAAGGTGGCAGCCAGGCTTCATAGGATGTGTCTCATCTTTATCAAGAGTTTTTTGACATGTGAAAGATCTTTGTCATTTACTTTAGAGACAAAATCCTGAAATCTTCACTATTTATTTAAATTTCCTTATTATACTGTAAATAAAGTATCTTCTTAAAAGAAACTAAATTTTTGAACCTCTACTGTCATTCTGATGTATCTATTCTCATATATTATAAAGACAAAATATTCTCTTGAAAAATAAAACGAAGGAGAAAAATAGTGAAGTAACCTAGGGAAAGTTAACACCTGCTGTAGATGGGAGGTCTGCATCAAAAGTCCTTTAGAAGAGAGAGGTAAACATCTGTTCATATTTCAGAAGCATGCACTCTTACTTCTCATTTAAAAGAAAAAAGGATAAAATTAAAAGAAGGAAAATTTGAAAGGATTGCAGTATTAATGTTGACTTACTCCTTAGACCCTTACTGACTTACTCTTAGGCTTACTAACACACATTTTTTTAAAAATGCTTTAAAAAGCTTTTTAGCTTCATTATTAAACATTACTTTCTTTGCATTTGCACCACATAAAATGGAGAGCAGAATCACAAAATATTTAAAAACAGCATATCTCTAGAATTCTTATACAGTGTTAAGGATTGCCATGATTCTTTATTTATATTCACTAATTTCTTTTTGAAAACCAGCTACTTAAGCAGCCAGCTGCCTAAAAGAAATAAATGGTTAATAATGTGTATAATGATTTTAACAAATCCAGCCAGTGTTATTTTTCATAAAAATTATTTAATATTTCTAATTAGACATCTCATGATTCAAATGCATTTTTATTTAAATCAGTCAGATTAAAAGGTTGAAAAAGTATTTTTAAGAACTGTATTTATTGCTTTTCATTCACTTGGTTTGCTGTTCAGTAACAGAAAGCTTAAATATGGAAATATCTTATGCTTTACTAAATGGCAGCAGTGTGGGGAGATAATAAGTATTCTGTTTGAGGCAGTAGCAAGGCATTGCTTTCAAATAGCCAAATTTGTGGTTTAAAGTTGGAAGATAAATGTCTTACATTTTGCCAAATGCCAACTGTTTAGTTCACTGGAGAAAAAATGTTTTACTTCAAAGTACTTTTTACTTCAAAGTGTTGTAACTTTCCACTTTTAAATTTCTGAGTTTGTTAAACAAAAATTCATAAATTTGTACAAAATATGAAATAAATCAAAAACAAATTCAAAATTTGGGCTAATATGAAATATAAAATTCGACGTTAAAAATTCAGTGGCTCTAGATGCCTTCATTTTTACGCAGTGCAAGGAATATAACATACTATATGAATCCTTCTTTGTTTCATTTTTTTTTTTTTTTAAATAACATGAAGATAACATTTTGTGACAGCAATCTGAAAAGTGATTCGGACATAAAAATGATATGGTCAGAAAGTGCATTTCAATTATTTTAGTAATTTTAGCATGATTTTTAGTAATAGCAGCTGTGATGCTAAATATAAAAAAGTAAATAAAATTAAATAAATAGTTCATATGTTGTAAAAATGCATTATATTCAGTTATTATTAACATACAAAGGTTCTGAATGAAAATATGCATATATGATGTTCATCTTTAAGATTTCTTTCACCACAGCATGCATTTGTTATATAAGTAAATTGGAAGTCCTTGCATATAGGTGGCAGTTGTCTTTGCAGAAGCTAAGATTTTGTATCATTCATATCTAATAGATTTTATTTGATATTGATTAGTTACATTAATATGCTGCTACAGTTGTTTTAGTTTTTCAATTTATTTGTACAATATTTCATTTAAATATTGATTTTCAAATTAATTTTCCAGTTTACAGTTTCTAATTCAAAAGTACCTTTGCTCAAATTTCTTGGTAACAAAGAATTTTTTTTTGTTTGTTTTTTTGTTAAAATGCAAGAAATGCACTTTAAAATTCTTATTAACAAGCTGTGCAAGAGAAATTTTGCAGTATTTTAAATTTTGAGTTATAGAGTGAAAATGACATATTTTGCATCTTAAGTTTCAGTATATGATGCATAACTTTATTTATTTCTAATGAATAGGTATATCTTTTAACATCATACATAAACTGGGAACTTGTAGTTCTGACACAGCTCAGTTTTTTTTTGAAGATGTGAAGGTACCAGCAAAAAATATTATTGGTGAAGAGGGCATGGGTTTTATATACCAAATGTTGCAATTTCAAGATGAAAGACTTGCTGCTGTTATTGGAGGTACAATGAACTACTTTTTCTAATAAATAGTTCAATAAATAAATAAATAATGTATGTTTCCTTAAATTTTTTATCATAAATATATACACTTTATTTTATTGGAATATATTTCTGCTTATTTATTTTTATTAAAAATTATATGACTTTGTTATGCTATTTTAAAGCAAATTTCTTTGAGATTCACTTTTGTTTAATTAACTCATCGGTGACAAGATACAGAGATTTCTTAGTGGAATATGGATCCATAGCTGGTAGCCAGTGTGTTGAAATGTGTTTTTATGATAATACAGTACTGCCTTGTGTAACAAATGGCTCGCACATTGAACATCCTGCATAGCAACTTTGGACTGACAATGCAAATTCTCTGCAAATATGATTACACATTATTAACATGCCAAATAATAAATGTAATAAATTCTGTTTAGATGGCACCATAAATACAGAAAATGCATGTGTGTCAAAAAAAAGGGGGGCACTTAGCAGAGGAGAAGGCAAATAAATATATTTCTTTATTTAATTGCCACTGAAAAAATGTGCATCAGCAGCAGCAGCATTGGCACAACAGCCCCTTTGTGGACCTTTGCCTTCTTCAGAAACCTTACTCATTCCACCCTCCAGCATTTGATCTCCAGTTCTAAATTTTTAAAATGGCAAAATCCTCATCTAGGCAGTCCGTCCATCTTTTCTTAGGTCTTCCCCTTAAAATGAAGAACTGCAAACCTCCTTAAAAAGAGATATTAGGTAGCTGAGCATGAAATTTCTTATTGTGAGTAAGAGGATAACCCAGGTCTATGGCTATTGCAATTGTTGAGGGACTTTTGAAAAGTTAAAGATATCCAGGGCATTGTGAAGCAATGTCATACCAATCAACTTGAGCTGAACAGAGTGGCAGACCTATTCAATGATAATGTGCTACTTCAGGACTATCCTATAGAAGAGGGAGAAATATAGACAATTTCTTTGAAACTTGGGCCTCATGAGAAACAAAAAACGGATGTTCTTAAATACATGATAGCTCAACTGTATCACTTCCAGAGGAAGATGAAGAAGACTTTTACTAAACTGTACAAAATGTCTAGAAATATATATATTTAAAAAAGACAGTAGTAAATTCCTATCATGTACGACAGCGGCAGTATTTCTAATAAACTTTGAATTTTTTTAATGTTTTGCAATTTTAAACTGAGACTGGAAGTCAATTAAAACTATTCCCGTAGTAATCTATGGGAAACAGCATCTCACACAATGAAGATTAGTGTACTGCAAAATCTGAAACATATTGCATTTGTTATGCAAGTTGCCACTGTAGGTAAAAGCTGGGCTAGCACCTCAGTAGTTCCACAGGTAATTGAGGTATTGCTGAACCTAGCTAACTTTTAAGCTTCTGCCTCAATTTTGAGGGAGAACACACCCTTGGGGAAGCAATTGCAATTTCAAAAATGTTAATGCAGTTGAACTCGTTTGTAACTAGCATGAAGGGACCATGATATTGGCTCATTATACAGAGTGCTCATAAAAAACAGTTTTGTGAAAAAAAATCATAAAAGTTCACACATACTTACTATATTATATATATTTACTTTATTTATTTTTATTCCTGTACAGTACAAAAAGAAGTTGGTTAATTTGCTTTGAACTGTCTTATTGTTCTTTGGAGAATACTCATGGCCCGAAGAATTTCATTTGGACTCTTGGCTTCAAAAAAAGTTTGAAATGTTTCTGTACACTCAAAAACCATTAAGTATATTAAAGCGGCTATTCAGCTTGAAATTCTTCATGTTCATTGTTATCATAATCCCTTTCATTATTTTTTTTTCATCTGATTTTGCTTGAATTTTAGGTACAGTATCCTCAGGAGTAGTATTTCAGAAGTGATAACATTGGTATCAACAGATACATTTTAAAACTATCCGCTTTAAAAGAGCTTCATCCAAATCTTCTTTAGCACATTTCTTCAAATGTTTAAAGTCATTCTTATTTTGATTGAATGCAGCCATTAATTTTTCCATTTTCTTTAACAGTTTTGAAACAACAGAAGATAAATCCTACTTTTTTGCAGATTTCAGAATTTTTATGCCATTCTCTAATTCTCATAAAATCCTAACTTTTATGTTAACTGATAAAATTTTACATTTTGCCATCACAAGATAAAATTTGAGTTATGAAAGCAGATCAAAGAATGACCTCCACACAAATTCTCTACCTTGCCACTCTTATGCATAGCACAACTAATGGACATGGCACTGACATCTAACTCCTTAGCAAGCTCTCAAGTGGTTGCATATTGATCTTCTTCCATAAGTTCTTTTATGCAGAGTAAAATTCCATCCAATCTGCAACATCCACCGTCTCCTCACGTTCGTTTGTGGGATGCCCTCACACGTGCACTTCACAAGCTAAAAAAGGCTGCTATCACATGTTCACAAGATTATAACTCATCACTAACTTCCAGTCGACTGTGGAATGTTAAAGGAATTTTTCCAAGAAAAGATTAGCTGAACTGGAGAGGTGGAATTCAATAGGAATTTTATGAATCACAAAAATATTTCTTGTTTAAAGCAAGTTATGCTCTTATAGATTTAACATTGTACCAGCCAAGTATTTCCGATTTTCTTGTTGTTCTTGTTAAATCAGGACTTGTTATAAGCAAGTTGTATTGTGATAAAATTACTTGTCATAACCGGAGTTTGCTCCCATAATTTTCTCTTTGTACCAACCAAGTATTTTTGATTTCCTTGTTAAATTCAGGTTCTCTTTAAATCAGGGCTTATTATAAATGAGTTGTACTGTATTGTAATTATAAATATCTAATTGTAACAAAAGTTTTCCACCAAAAAAGTTCTTAATAAAGTTAGGGAAAAACAAACATGGAAACAGTATCTTTAGTTCAAGTAGTAATCACCACCCAAATATATGATTTTCTGACGATATTTTGGTAGTTTTTCAAAGCCTTCGGCCCAGAAACTTGGTGGCCATGAGTCTGAAAACAAATCAACCTCATTTCGGATGTTCTGTGCAGAACGGAAGATAGCACCAGCAAGCTATAGCTGCAAATTTGTAAAAGGGTAAAAGTCCAAAGGAACGATGCTGGGCTATATGGTGGGTGTGGCAAAAGGTCCCATTCAAGTCTGTACAGAGTACACCAGTTAATTCAGACACATGTTGTTTTACATTATCTTGAGGGAAGATTACTTTTTTACTTTGGAACTCAGTTAAAAGTTTTTCCTTGATAGCAGCGCCAACATGGACTAGCTTCTCGCTGTACACATTACTGTTGAGGGTGTATCCTTAATGGATAATACCACGGCAATTTCACTAGATAGAAGCATGATCTTTTTGTTAGTCAAATTGTGCTTTGCGATGCTGCCAAAGGTCTCACCGGACGCAAACCAACCTCCTTTTAGGGCTGTGTTGAAGTAAATCTACTTTTTATCACAAGTGATGATCCAGTCCAGAATTTCTTCATTGCATTGATATTTGAGCAGATTAGTGCAGGCCCAAACATGTTTGCCCTTATCTGCTTGAGTCAACTCATGCTGCACCCAGCATCACTTGAACTTGTACCTCAAGTTTATGTGATGCATAGCATGACTAATGGACATGGCACTGACATCTAACTCCTTAGCAAGCTCTCAAGGTTGCATATTGATCTTCTTCCACAAGTTCTCACAGGATGAGGTGGGCCTCATCAACATCAGTAGGTGGACCAGAGTGCTCTGCTTATTGAACATCATAGTCCTTGTTTTTGAACTTTCGGTACCAAACCTTCACAGTATCATATGATACAACATTAGTGCATGAAGCCGTACACATGGTTTGGTGAAATTCTGTAGCTAACATTTTGCAACAAATTTGGTAGCATAATAGTTTCATTTCAGACACCTTGTACTTAATGATATTTTTCTATAATTTTTACAACACTGTATTCTAAAATGTGATTAAACAAGCCAACATGCACTGCTTGTACGGACCATATTTGTGGTGGCGGGAAGCTTTCGTTGCAACGTCATATAAAAACTTATTTAAATTTTTTTTTTCCCCTTGAAGATTAGTATTAAGAAATTTTTTTCAGTGTAACTAACAGAAATTGAAATCAAGTTATCTTCTACATATGTCTTACAGTATTTCATGTATTGAATGTGTGAAATCTATGTTGAAGAAATACTTAACAATGCATGTCATCATTAAATTTCATTTTGAGCACCCTTTGAAAATTAGTTCAAGTTCTGCACAGTTATTTCTTTATTTACTTATGTATTTAATTTTGTTTTTTAATTTTAAAATTTTGGATACAGTCATGGCTCAAAGAAATTCTAACTAAACTTTAAAAAAATACATAGTCGTAACTAGTTTCAATTTGGGCTTAGTTTTATTTTTGTTTTTACCTGTGATGTTATGCAGTGGTTATAATTAGTTCATTCTCAATTTGTTTTATATTTATGCATTGAAAAATAACTTAAAATCTCTATTGTTATTTTTTGCTTTGCAGTGTAAAAATTTTTTAGCTAATAGATTTTTTTTTCATCCTTTCTCTATAAATTTACTTTGGAAACATTTCTGTACTTTTGTTTCCTATAAAAATATATATTGAAATTTAGTCCCCTCTTTTTTTAAAGTTATATATGAGGAGGGATTTAGTTTTATTATTTATACTTAAGCTACTTTTATACAGTGCCATGCACATCTTCATCACATTTACACAGGCCAATAACTTACTTTAATATACTATTGTATATGATTAACTTTTGATAAATCATATTCGCCATTGGTTTTGCATGGATATCTAGACATTCTTTTTTTTTAACATAACCTGGTAGAACTTGACTTCTAAACAAGCCCCCCCTTTTTTTTTTCTATTGAAATTTTGTAGATTTTTCAAGGTCTATTATCTTTTGCACTTTTCTAAAGCAGTATCTAGATGGTAACTAATATTTGATATTCATTTCATAATAATTATAAAACTGACATCACAAGTGATTGATCCAGTCTAGAATTTCTTCATTGCATTGATATTTGAGCAGATTAGTGCAGAGCAGAGCACTCTGGTTCCCCGTACTGATGTTGATGAGGCCCACCTCACCCTGTGAGAACTTGTGGAAGAAGATCAATATGCAACCTTGAGAGCTTGCTCAGGAGTTAGATGTCAGTGCCATGCCCATTAGTCATGCTATGCATCACATAAACTTGAGGTACAAGTTCATGTGATGCTGGGTGCTGCATGAGTTGACTCAAGCAGATAAGGACAAACATGTTCGGGCCTGCACTAATCTACTCAAATATCAATGCGTTGAAGAAATTCTGGACTGGATCATCACTTGTGATGTCAGTTTTATAATTATTATGAAAATCCTGTAAGTAAACCTTTGATATGAATAATCATGTATGAACTTTTACAATTTAAATATGTGTGTAATGCATTTTTAAAACATATAACTTTTATTTAAGTAGGTTTAAATTCTCCATCGATGTCTGAACACAGGAGTTTTTTTCTGTTTCCTGTGTAGTATGACAAATATTAAGTACAAATTTATTAAATATGTGTGTAATGCTATAGTAGTAGCTTTTCCTTTTGTATACTTTTAACCCCTTCACAACAGCATGTTGCTGAACTAGAAACGGGCGTATCATGTGTGCATCAGTCCTAAATGTCACTAGCAGCCGGTGATGATGCACTAGTGCATCACCGCCTGCATTGATCTTCCAGGCGGGTGTGTCATATATGCACTTTCAAACATACACGTTCTTTTAGAACTTTTTAAAATCACTAGATGGCACTCTGTACCCACTACAGTTAGCTTATTTGAACATATATATTGCTGATCTTGTGTTTATGAAGTACTTTCTGATTCTGGTCATTCGTTTAGATGTACAAGCAGATGATATAAAGTAAGCAAAACCCAGCTGGGGCAGTTGAGGCTTCACGTGATATAAACATTGAACAATTTTGGATGCTTCAGATTTGTTTTCCGTTCTCCCCCGAATGAGAAGATTGGGAGTAGAGCTGTGATTTTAGGAACTCAGGTTTGTATTCAGTTTGCATCTTCTTTAGATAGCAGACATAAGTTTTTTGCATCGGTTAGTAAGGGAGTTAAACTAATAGTGTAATGTCTAAGAGAAAGACATTTTTAATGGAAGAGGAGTACATTCAAATTGTGAAGCCCGTGAGTGACTATTTTGACACCGAAGACTCTAGAGTTAAGTAAGAATAGCGATTTTGATACCCAGATTTTGTCAGAGACTGAACTGGAAGTTTGCTTTGCTTTCACCTCACAATCCAGCAGAACAGTGGCTACTCCATCATGAACTCGATTGAAGCCTTATGAATTTACAGGAATTGCAGAAGTAAACTTAATTCGAAGTTCTATGAATGAAATCTGTCTCTTTCACTTTTTTTCGATAATCTATTAAACATAATAGTTAAAGAAACTAATAATTTCTATGAACAAAAGATGAATTTTTCATCTTTGAGTTTGCTTCATCCAAAGTCAACATGCTCCTGTAGATGTGCCTAAAATGAGTGGATTCCTAAGATTAATTATTCTGCTGAAAATAATTAAAAAGTTTGAAAATGTGTTTCATAACTAATGAAATGATAGTGACTAGATTATAACACACTTCTTTTTGAATCATTTATGCTATAAAATTTAATCATATATTTTATTATTTTTATGTATGTTTAGATATAGATATAAGTAAGTTTTTTACAACATATCATCAGGATGAATCAAATATTTTATTTTGCATTTAGATTTAATTAATTTTTTTAAAAGAATTTCTGGATATTCTGTATTTATAATTGTATTACCATTAGATATCATTAGAGACAAAAGCAAAAGATTTAATGAAAAAAAGAATTTTTTTAAAAGTTAAACTTAGACACAAAATACCTCATCTTGGGAGATCGTACTACTGCAAAAACACACTATCTTCAAGGTGAGCTACGCTAATTGGCGTGCCATCACATAAGAGGATTACGTACTGATGCATATATGATACACCCGTCATGAAGGGGTTAAATCAGTTAATTTAAGTCTTTGCTTTTCTGAATAAAGGCACTATTATGCTGAAAGCAAATAGGGCTTACTTTAATTAGAATTGAATAAAAATGTCAAAATGTAACCAGCTTTTTTATTGAAGAAATTTAGGAAATGCAATTATTAAAAAAAAAAGGGGGGGTAACAGAAATTCTTGTTTGAGGTAAAGTTTTGAATGGAAAGTGTCTGATGTGTTTGCTTTTGACAGATCTTTTGCTTGTTGCTGATTTTCAAGATGTTCTTTTTGTTTAGTCGAAATCCCTACATTAGTCACATTTTAGCCACATGAATAGTACATTTATACCTGTTATTGGACTATAAACCCAGATTGCCAATGATGATAGCATGACTTTTACTAGCACCATCCTACTTTGATTGAAAACATTCCAGGGAAGTTTCCTTCCCTTCAACCAATCTTTCAGAAGGAGTTGTGTGCTACAGATTTTAAGTTACTCATTTTGACATTGTAGTTGCTTATTTCCAAGATCTGAACCTGGCTGTGTTGGCAAGAGCACTGAGCAGGTAGCACTGAATTTTGTTATTAGATTGTAAGAATTTCTTATTAATAAGTTTTGTAATTTTTATTGTAGAACAATAAAAATTAATTAATTTGTTAATTTGAAGTTAACTAATGATATGCTGTGGAAATTATGATTTTAATAGAGCTAATTATTGATTTTTAAAGCAAACAATTTATCAAAATGCAGTTCCTTTTGTCTTTAAACATTTCTTCTACCAAATATAATTTTCTAGATTATAGTAATGCTTTGACATATTATTTCAAATCTTTTCAACTTATACATGCAAGCAAAAAAAAAAAAAAAAAGGGGGGGGGGATAAAATATCCAGTAGTGCTATTTCTATTTTTGCAGGTTCAGAACAATAGTAAATTATATTATAAATTGGGTTGTGTTTGAAATTTATGACATGCTCAAGGAAATTATATTTTGATGCAGGAAATTCTGTAAAATACTTTTGTGTAAATTTGTGTTAGTAAATAATTACCATGGATGAATTCAAACCATTGCTATTTTTTAGTTCCACCTAGATTGAGTCAAATCATTCAAGCAACAGTAGACTATTGCAAAGAAAGAAAAGCATTTGGTCAACCTATTATAAATAACCAAGTCATACATTATACTCTTGCTGAATTACAAAGTGAAGTTGAAGCACTGAGGTCTTTAATATATCGAGCTGCAGGTAACAAAACTGTTTATGCTATATAATTCAACTCTTTTTTTCCTTGATACTGCTCCTGAATATACACTTTGTGATATGTAATAACTATTGTATTTGAAGGGGAAAAATGGGTTATATTAAGACTCAGTTTATTTCTACTAAAAGTGATGGAGGCATTATGGTGTGTGTGTATATATATATATATAAATTCAAAATAAAGTAATTAAAACTTTTTATAAATTATTATATATTTACTAAAGAAATATTTATTATATTATCTTTATCTCCTAATATAAATTTAGTAGAAGTATGGAAACTAAGAACTTTTTGAACTAAGTGACTTTTGATCATTCCAGTATATATATATCATAAATTAAATTAACAATTTAGTAGAAGTAGCTTAATCCATTCTAGGAAATTCTAAAATTGTATTAAAATAAACCTATTAAACTTTAAAAACTTAAAGCAGAAGTTAAGATATATTATTTTGGGAAAAATGAATTTATTTAAAATGAACTTATATTAAATTATAAAATACATTTTAAATTATTCATATTTTCATGCTCTAGACCAAATTCTCAAAGGATAATAATGTAGAACATTAAAACCTGAATAATCCGAGAGAACTGAAAATATATATTATATATATTTTGCAGATAATGAATATTTGTGTTTTCCGCAATTAAATATATGTATACACACTTTAAGCAGAATTCTGAGTATCTGAAAAAAAAAAAAAAAAAAAAAAAAAAAGGCTTTAAATGAAGGTCATCAGAAATATCAGATAAAGTAGAACTATTGCTATCAAATATTAAAATATGCAGCTAAAAAGGGAATAAAATGTTATATGCCTTTGACAATAAAAAAACAAGTAAAACATTTAGAGATTTGCAGTTAGCATGTAATTTGATTATTTTGCTTACAGCAGAAAAAATATTGCATAGGAAAATAGGTGTATTACAACAAAGTGCATTGTATAAAAATTTGACTAAAAAATATTCTGTTGTATGAATTTCATGCTGTATCAAAGAAAATGGATAATCAGGACTTGACTACTTGCCATGTTCATATAATTTGATAGAGAAAATAAACAATAATCAGGAAATTTTAATCATATAGAATTTTCCAAGAGTAATTTGGAGACATTTCAGTGAGTTCTTTATTTATAAGTTCTGATAGCAGAACAATTTTAAACATGCCAAGATGTTGATTAAAAAAAAAAAAGAAAGAAAGAAAGAAAGAAAAAGAGTTGTAGCTTCAAAGGCTAGAATTTAAAATAGGTTTAATATTTTCTACAGATGATATTACTGTTACATTGCATTATTAGCTATTTAAAAGTTTTGACTGAATACCACTTGGATAGAAGGTTTCACTTTTATTTAGTTTTTCTATAAGCTTTCATTTAGTCTGTACATGGTGTTTATTATTACGTTCAGATTTAAGCTTGTAACTAATTTTTCAGTTATTTCCAGATAAACTGTTGAGGTCAAATTTTGTACTCGTATTGTTTATGGATGACAACAGCGTAGTCAAATGATTTTTTTTTTACATTTAATATTGAAGCAATTTTTTGCACATATCATTTTTATTTCACAAACAAGAGTTTTAATGCTTGCACCATTAAATAGAGCAGGGGGGGGGAACTTTCATTTCTGATTTTTTGACAAATTTTCCAAAATGTTTTATGACTATTTGATGTTTATTACTTTAAAATTTTAGCATTTAAAAATGTATCTGCTATATTTGATGTTCGTTACTTTAAAATTTTAGCATTTAAAAATGTATCTGCTGTGAAGTTTTGAATTGTTTGCAGATTACTTTTTGCCCTCTTTTAAAACAAGAATGATAAAAAAAATATCGGGGTTTAATGCAAATATCGTCTGTGCAAACAGTTCACGTTGCTGTGTTTAATCATAACAGGTTTTAACGAAAGTTTCCTGCCACCACAAATATTGTCTGAAGAAACAGTTCATGCTGCCATGTTTAATCATATTTTGTCAAACAATTTTTGACTTTTGAATGAAAGAGACTTGTTTGTTGACAAACAAATGAAAGACACTGTATTGTGAATTTTATAAAAAACAATATCAGTATCATTAAGCACAAAGTGTTTGAAATGGAATTATCATACCAGATTAGAACCATCATTTACTTCTAGTTCTGTTGCAAAAAGTCAGCTATACAATGTCACCAAAAGCGTATAGCTTTAGGTACTAATGTTGCTCATATAACACTGTGAAGGTTTGGTACCAAAAATTCAAAAACGAGGACTATGACATTCAAGAGGCGGAGCACTCTGGCTAGCGTACTGATATTGATGAAGCCCACCTATGAGAATTTGTGGAAGAAGATCAGTATGTAATCACTTGAGAGCTTCCTAAGGAGTTGGATATTCATGCCATGCCCATTAGCCGCACTATGCATCTCATAAACTTGACGTACAAGTTCAATTGCTAGGTGCCACATCAGGTGACTCAAGCAGATAAGGACAAATATGTTCAGGCCTACACTAATCTGCTTGAATATCAACACATGGACAAAATTCTGAACCAGATCATCACTTGTGATGAAAAGTGGATTTACTTCAACAACACGGGCCTAAAGGGGGGTTGGTCTGCGCACTGTGAGCCCACCGGCAGCGTCGCAAAGCACAATTTGACTAACTAAAAGATCATACTTTGTATCTGGTGGCATTGTCATGATATTAACCACAAAAGAGTATCTGGAAAAAGGTGTCTGGTATCGTATCCCTTGACAGTAAAGTGTACAGCAAAGGAAGAAATGTCGAATTGAGTTCCAGCATAAAAAAATAATGTTCCATCAAGATAATGCAAGACCGCATGTGTCTGCCTTCATCGGCCGGACTCTATATGGATTTGAATGGGATCTTTTGCTACAACACTCACCATGTAGCCCCAACATTGCTCCTTCGAACTTCTACTTTTTTTTTCACAGCTGTAACTAATCTTGCTGGTGCTATCTTCCATTCTGCACAGGACATCCGAAATGAGGTTGAATTGTTTTTGGACTCATGGCTACCAAGTTTCTGGGCTGAAGGCCTTGGAAAACTACCAAAACGTTGGCAGAAAATCACAGATTTGGGTGATTACTACCCACATTTTTATTTTATAACTTTATAAGCCCTCTGAGCGCCATGACTGACTTTATTCAGTCACAAGATGTTTTGTTACTTGTTATATATTAGCTTATAATTTAAGATATTTTGCCTTCTTACTTTCATTAATAATATAAATGCCTTCTTGATGAATGTATGTTTGTGAAAATGGAGGCTAAACTAGGTAAATATACATATTTGGCTCTCTAAATACAGGTCTTCATGACAGATCCAAAATCCCAGGCCACTCAGAGAGTTAAGAACGTTTTTCGCCTTATATCTTTTGTTATAACCAGATATTAATTCTGTTGTTGTCTGATCAAATATATATACATATGCTGCACACTTTAACCTTTTGATGCACACAATATTATTTTTATAATGTTTTAATCAAATACCTCTAGAAATTGAATATTGTGATTCTAGAGACAAATAATATATGAATTTAAAAAAAATCCACTCTCGCCCATTGATCTGTGGGTGGTGGTCTCTCTGTCAAACCTACACACTTCTAGGACTTTGAAACTTACTGAGTTAGTAGGAAAAAACAGCTTACCTTCTTCTGTGCGCATTTCCAATGAATGATGAAATTTGCAAATTAAAAAGAAAATTGCATGAAATGTATATTTTTTACTTTATTTTACAAAGTAAATCATCAGAAAAAATTTAAAATTTATGTAATTTTTCTACAGCAGTGAAAATATAAGAATGTACATAATAAGGAAATTGGGATAAAAATATCTCAATAGAGTATTAAAAAACTTGGTGTTTTTTTTTTAAATGTCAAAGAACTAAGTTATTTTTTTATGAAACTGTTCAAAGCATGTTTTATCTTTTTATACAAGGGCACATTTCGCACATATATCTTGTTCTGTGAGGTTTCTCCCTTGTGCTACAAAATGTACACCATGGGGATTTGCATTTTACTGGCATATGCTCTGTGTCCTTTAGTCGTTCTTCATTTGGCACATGAAATTTACCTTTTTTTATGTTGATAAGCAGGCTTGATAGTTTTCGCTTTGATACGGATCCTTCGTTTCCCATTCCTATCATACTACTGATTATATTCATTCTGAAAGACTTGAGTATTTTCAAAATGGGGTCACTTTCTGGAAGCATTCGGTATATAATGAAGGGACTTATAATGGTGACATCAATAAAATGAAAGAAGATTCGATGCCACCATTTTTTACTTTTTCTATCAATTTCATATAAGCTTTTGAATTGGTCAAAATAGTCCACATATCCCATATTTTTATTGTAATGTGTAATTGCCTTTGGACATTGTATCTGAACTTTCTGTCCAGTTTTTTTTTCCCCTTCTACAGTAGATGGAATAACGAGATCAACTTGGCTAGATAAAATGGTAACACATTTTTTGTCTTTCCATTTTAGACAAGTTATTTTGTCATCACTTACTGCCCAGTTGAAGTCACCTCGTTTTAATTTCTTATCTTCCATCACTGTCTTGGAAAGGTTTTTTTTTTCTTTTTATATTTACAGTTCCACAAAAAATACATTTTTTGTTTCTAAAAACTTGAAAAGTTCATAGGATGTAAAATAATTGCCCATGCATATTCTATGATTTTTACCATACAAGGGCTCACTTAGCATTTTTACCACTCTTTCAATCAGATTTTTTTTGACTTCGTGGGTTTTGCCAGTATAAATTTCAAATTTACAAGCATAGCCGCTTTCATCGAAATGCATCCACACTTTATATCCTCGTTTTATTGGATTTTATGTAAGTATTGTATTAGTGAACTTCTACATTTGAAACGAATTATTGATTTGTCAATCGACTGGTTTTTTCCCGATCTAACGAGACTATCAAATCTTTCTGACAAATAAGTCAATAGAGGCTGAACTTTATAAAGTTTGTCAAACATTTCGTCCTCTCTTTTTG